GCTTCCAAGGGGCAGAAGACGCAATATCTTCCTTCAGACAGACCGTATTACATGAGCGTAATAAATCTCAAACGCAAGTTTTAAGGGACACGATAAACCTCACTTATGGTGACTGCACCTTCTTTTCAGGTTCATATCGCTTAATAAAAATTGTATACTGAAACACTTGACCTTTGTTTGCATTAGCTCTAGTAATATCATTTTCAGACGTGTACGTATCGCAATCAAATTTTAAAATTGGAAAGATTTAAAAATATATGAATATGAGCAGAAATGTCACAACATGCGAGGATATTCCAATGTGTCAGATTACGAGGCGCGTCCACAAAGTAAGTTTCTCACTCGTCCCACAGCTAGCAAACCTTATATTGTGCGAAGCGACTGTGCGTACGTGATAGAGCAATGACGTAGTATGGCGCATGCACTAACGGTACTTCCCGCGTTCTCACAGTAGCATCGTTGCAGCTGTTGAAGATGGAGGTTCTTATTCCAGCTCCCGCTGACTGTGAAGTGCGGTCAGTGATAACGCTAGGCCGCACACGGTTCGACGGACAGCAAGTCTCCTGCAGGAGTTCCGCTGGGAGGTGTTTAATCATTCACCCTACAGCCCGGATCTCGCTCCCAGTGATTTCCATCTTTTCCTACACCTCAAGAAATTCCTGTCCGGTCAGCGTTTTGAGAATGACAGAGAGGCGGAGATGGTTGTCACACAGTGGTTCCAATCCCAGGCGGCCGACTTCTACGACACAGGTATTCAAAAGTTGGTCCCACGGTATGACAAATGTCTCACTTCCGGTGGCGAATATGTTGAAAAATAGCTGGACACTTGCTGTATCTGTTGCAATAAATATTTCCATGAAATTGTGTTTTGTTTCTGTAAACGGCCCCAGGAAAACTTACTTTGAGGACGCGCCTCGTATTCTAATCAAGGTTTTAATATTAAATAAACTGGCAACGAAACAGAAAATGAAACAGAATACTCTAGATATTGGAAGCAGTAAAATAGTTGGCGATGTTCGAGATGTAAACCTTTATGGACGTGCGATAATTATATACATGTTCCGCCATTACTGCTTTTGTTTACAAATTCATGTAGAATAGAGTTTTTAATTTTCGAGTTGAAATTATACAATACTCTGCGAACGTTAGTGTCGTTGTGAAACGTTTTAAAAAGACGTGTTACAGTGCTATGTTAATATGGCATCGACGTCTTTGCGGACTGGACTGACCTGGAGAATTAGACACGTTTGTGATCCATTACTCACCAATTTATAACTACAAGATTATTGTATAATTGCTGACTGTCAGCACAGAAAAGGATTTCAGTACGATACAGTATTAGTGGCATTAATATTTATATTATAAATACTTGATTAGTTTATAACAGTTTTCCTCAACCAATGGGTCGCCATTTGCTGTCGGATAAATGATAGCCCACTATTTGTAACTAAATTTTTTTAGTTTTTCCTTAACTTTAAATTACTAAATTATTTCTATTGAACATTTATACTTCGCCCTTTTTTCATTTTTGCTGCATATGATTCCGTGACCTGCACAGTAGCAGGGTTTTGTTTGTGGTTTATTTAACAACGCTGTCAGTAGCTCAGACTATCTGGCGTCGACAGAGTTCTAAAGAAGAGGACACGCAGATGTGGACGGGTATTTACGTCCCTAAAAATGGGGATGTGTATCCGTGTTAGAAACCCCAGGTTTTTGAAAGATGGATATATTTTACAATTTAAATTATTTCATACGGCCTCGTGCGAAATTCTTAACTGTCAGTATTTATGGCGTCTCTTCTATTTCAGCAACACAAAGCTCTTGAATGATATTTGGTAAGTATAGATATTCAGACTTGCTAGTGATGATTACGTTTGTAGACTGTTATTTACACCGTGCAGTGCTGGGCAGATAGAGGAATTGGGACTTCCTGGCAAACAAACACCTGTTTTACCTGTCCAGGAACAAGAATAGTCGAGACCAATTTTCTACAAAATAAGATTTGAACGCATACAAGAATACTGTACTGGACTTTACCAGCTGTCTGAAAATGACGTTTATGACGTTGGTCCTCCTACTTTCGGTGAATGACTGTCATACTGACAGATTCTCGTCACATTTCTATTTTGATATTATGACAACGGTTGGGATCGAACTTGGGACATTGAAAACGCCAGAGCGAACTCCCAAATCGACGTGAAAATCAAGGATACCTCACACAACGTAGCGTTCTTATAATGAATCAACCACTGTCACACACATTTAGAGAATAATTTGAATAAATAGTTGTTTCATATTTTTGACAACCTTGTAATTTAGTATCATATTTCGTTTAACGGTTCTGTACCAGATTTGCTTGTACCGTTTCAATTGTCATCCTCAAAGAACTCATGAGAGCTTCAGTAAAGTGTTCTCGAATATTCGCTCTGGAACGATCCAGCATTAGTGACGCATGTCAAAAAACAAAAATTCCAAAGCCACATCATCGAAAATTAATTGACTTCGCTAAAAGTTTTAATACCGCATCGGGGATAGATTGAAGTTGTGGTCTTTGGAAGAGGGAGCGAGACAGAGAGACCTAATCGAAAATCATGCCTTCGCCAGCTGCCGCCAACTCCTTCTCTTCTGCTCATTCCGCAGCGACCCTGCTTTGTGCTTCACATCTGATAGAACAGGAGACAGAAATCAAATCAAGTCCGTATTTCCGGTTTCGAGAAAAAGGGACTCACAGACACACGTTTTTTGGTATAGAATTTGGGGTTCTCGAGGCAGTGAAGATGTTGATGTTGGTCCCCTGGGTTGTAACTCCGTGTGAAATTGTAGGCAGGTACCAATGTTTCGGAAAAAAGCATACTGTCTCCATCTTCAAAGTTCAAATATTTATTACTTCTCATACTTTCAACGTTTAAGTTTATTTGTTACTATTCCCAGCACGTTCGGTTATTGACACATTAACAAATACTTTTATTAACATCAACGCACAATTAACAATAATTATTGATTACAAGTGACAAAAGACTAAGTAGCTTCATCTAGAAGCTTTGAAATATTATTTCCACTTCAATTATCACCGAGAAGATGAGAAATGAGAAACCGTGGTTGATTAAACAAGCGTTTCAAAAGAAGTCTTGTTAGCAGTAAAAGGAAACATTTTATAAATTCTTACGCGTTCTTTGCACGATGTGCATGAAATAAACGCATAAACAGCTGGTAACGTCCGCTGTCTGTCTGTCTGTCAGCATGATCAAACTCGAGAAACGCTGGACAGATTTGGATAAAATTTTGTACTGATGTTCTGCCACTGGGATATACACAAGAAATGCCCAATTAATGATACCAACAAGGCGGGGGAACAAACTTGTGAGATAAGACAGACACTAGCGTCACTTTCATTAAGGTCATACAATCATGTATAGTTACAGATTATCAGAAAATACAAATATTTTGGTAGCAGGAGTACAGACATGCATGCAGAGCTTTAGCCACAAAGGCGTTCTTGTAGAAGAAAGAGGCTGCAGGTAGCTGGTGATGGTGGTTTAAGCTTAAATCTGAAGTAGAGAAAACGACATACAAAAGTCTATCTGGAACCTTAAAAGGATCAGTTCATTCACTGGACTACTCATAAATATTCTCTCTAGTCAGATACGCCTACCTGGTTACCAAGGCGGGCCTTGGG